TTAATTTATGTTTTCAGATGTCAATTGAATTCGCACTTTATTTGTAGTTATGCTAAAAATTTTTGTATGAAAGTATGCAAATACTACTATATAAAAAAAAAACATGGCATACGGTCTTGCCACATTTGATCGCTCACAGTTACATTCCTAAATTATCTTTTATTCTCTAAGCTTACACCTGCGCTAACGTCAGCAATTGAAAATTAAAAAGTATTCGTTATCTGGTTATGATCCTTTTGATATCTAATCTTATCAGCCCACCATTTGTAAGTGTAAAACTTCAACTTCTTATGCTTTCAATATAGTTTTAAAAATTCTACTAAAAATTTAAAGTTTCACAGACTACGAAAAAAATCATAATCTACCTTTGTATGTTGTGTACTTTCATTTTTAGAGAAAAGATGATAAGCATTTTATATTTATTCGTAACTGCTTAGCATTCCCGCATCCACTGCACTGAGGTCCTGACTTTCTAACTGATAAGAGACTATTTCAGATAGCTGACGAAGAAATATATACGTGATTGGACATTAAACAACAACTTTTAAGGTCTAAGAAATTATTGCAGTCTTTAGTTAAAATAAATTTGTATCCTGCAAAATAATAATGAAACCCAACATCATCATATTGTTATAAACATCAAGGAAAATACTTTTAAATTTTTTTAATTAATAATATCTGGATTCATAACAACCAACAGCTAAGCGTCAAAAGACACCAAAAACTTCAAAAAAAAGAACAAAAAAAATACTGCTGTGCCCATGACGGTCGAGTCTATGTAACCGGAACGGACCCAGATTTTTATCCGGCCAAGGACTATCAACTCGGCAGTATTCTGCTGTTACAACAACAACCAAACATAAAAAAATTTATTGAACTATACGATGGACTTTTAAAATCGCCTAGCAAGGGGAATACAAATAAAATGAAGCTCAGCCAAGAGATTTAACTGGATTTAAGCAAACAACACTGAAACCATACTAAATCTATGAACAATGAAACAATATCGAATCTGGAAGACTAACTTTTACTAACAACGGAACCAACATACATATATGTCGGGCGGGGGGTGGGCTACAGTACATATTTAACTAATTGCTTGAACTAAACCTAAATCAAGCAACAACCTTGCACACAGTTCAATTCTTAGATTTCTTGAATTTAATGCTTTTTTTTATATCGCTTTTTCTCTCTTATTAACTCTTTTTTTAAATGCCGAAAGCCGAACGCCAGCACCTTGCTTAGTCTACATTCTTCTTTCGACAAATCATATAAAAATCATGCAATACAGGTATTCGTAAGCGAAATATACAACTATAGAGTAGCAGTTGAGCAACTAACAGCGGTTAAATAAAATTAAGTCATAGTTGTTGTACTTTCAAGTTGGTACGAAAATGTGTCAAAAGAATGCAGTGGAGAAATAAAGAAAAACCGGATAGGATCTACCATCGTCATCGTCGTAACGATACTAGCCGAGCTTTCGTTTAGCTAAAATAGCAGCGTTGTTCCCCGCCGCATCGAAATAAAAACTCCGGTATAACATACTCGTGGGGTATACATATGTGTATATAGGTTATTTTAAGTTAACATGTTTCGAGATGATGAGCTCTTTAACTTTCTTTAACAGTTTACTGCTTGAGTAGACTCTTACTTACCAACGCTACCAATATCTGCGTTGAATAATGTAATTAATAAAATACTTCTGTTACTTAACTCATACTTCGCGTGATTTTCACTTTTCTAAGCTCTTTGGTTTTAGCTTCAGCTAAGGAATTCAGTATTTAAAACAACTAAAACCTCAAGTTGAACTTGTGGTGTGTGAAGCCGTCGTACGTCCACTCCATTGAAATTCACAAAGTTCGTTGTGTAGAAAATACAATGGCTTCGAAAGACAGCTCCTAAGTTTGTATACATCTCATTCACCATTACCAACACTATCAGCAATTTGGCGCTAGCAGCACCGAAAACACATTTTGTCGACGTGTCAGCGCTATTCAACATAATTTAACGAATTTGAAAACTTCTGATCGAAACGATCATGGCAACGATTGTGAAAAGTAAAGTATACCGCAAGTCAGTCAGTGATAGCGCGTGTCAAGTTTTTCTTTTCCCCCTCATTCTTTATGCACGCAATAATAATTTACTTTTTCGTACTGCTCAATCGTTCCTATAACTTTCATATTTAAACCTTATCACAAAGTTCTTTAGCTTCAATTAAATTGTGTAGTATAGATTACAAGTAGATTGTGAGAAAAGTTAAAAACTACTGTTTTCTCTATTCATTGCATATAACATATAACGTTTATGAAATATGTAATTCATAAAATAAATATACTTCAAACCAAAGTACTCATATTATTATAAATTATTACAAACCGTTTTATTTATGCAAACAAATTACGTCGTTCTTTTGAATGATAATGTCTCAAAAAATTAACATTCAAAAAGTATCTGGAAAAATTAAAGTAGACGGATATGAGTTGCTTCCAGATAAACCGTCCATACTTTGTGTCTAATTCTATAGAACCTAATTGTGATGTATATTTTGATATTATTAAGAAGTATAACCTATTGCTGTGTAATCTACTAAAATTATGAAAGGAATCGGTTTCCATTATTATCAGCTAAAGGTAAGTCCATTTACATACTTGCACCCATGTTGCCAATATGCCGATGCATTCAAATATATGTAAGAACATGTATACATATACTACATTATTAGGTACTTTCACCACTAAAAGCGGCTTTATAGTATTTTGTTTACAATTTTAGTTTTTCTAGCTCTATTTGGCTTAATGACAAAACATTGTCAAATCATATTAAGTAAAAAATGAGTTTCGAACATATGTAGATTCCTAATAATAATATTTATTGGACAAACTTACTGTACTGTAAATTCCAAAAATCCGGCCTATTTAACTGCTTCTGCTGTAAAATCCAGTTTGTTAACTTGGGTTGTCCTCTACTGAAAATAAATCAAACGATTTGGTTTTACCAAGTTTATTCAAATATTTAGTGTTTATAATTTTTGGGCTGAGAAATCTAAATACTTATATAGAAATCTAATGCATAAACTACAATTTCTTTTTGTTGTGTGAATGTGGCCGTGATTTTTGCATAATGGCATACTTTCATAAAAAATTCCTTTACGCATTTGTTTCATCTAATGCTATAAACATAATATATGTAAATTACGATTTATACTGGACACAGCAACAATTGTTCTTCGCGGCATCACGTTCTAGAGCCTATGAATTCAAATGGTTCATAAACTTTTTATCATGCTAAGCCACATTGTAGGTATGTACATATATTATCTTGGCTCAGTTTATTAGTGACTTTTATCCTAACTATTATGTCGCGTGGCATATTTTCAAATTCTTAATGAAATGAGCTTAATATATACAACTGGTACGGTAAAGGTATTTGTCAATTTTTCTTGACTGTCAATGCATTTTGGAACATAAAGTATAAAAAAAAACGTGTTTTCCACAGCATCGTTGACACTTAACGCCAGCGTTGACGCAGACGGTAACTGAGTCAAAAACACCGCGACATACATAATCCACACATTCAAAGCCGACAAAACTTCCACGTACGAAACAGCAGTGTTGCCATTACTTTATGACATGCCCAATCTTCATTCTTGCAGACCACTCATAATTTTTCAAAATATCGCCATCTTATCAAAAATTTGTGAAACAAAAATATACTGTCTTAAATCTCACAATAGTTAAAGTCAATTTTTTCCTACTCCGTTTGTCCATTTCACATGTTTTCTTAGGCTACCATTTTCATTTTTGCATTTGTATTTGTGTTAGCCCACACTCCGCTTCTGTCGACATATACGCCAACGCGAATGCGCTGCCGACCGACCGACACAATACTACTGCAATTGACTTGCTGGCATATCGCAGACACTGTAGCTGCAGTGAGGGCGGCCTCAATTTCTCAATATTAGTTTCCTTCATGTCATCCAAACCAAATTATTTCACTTTATTCACAACCTTATAATTCTAACACACACTTTCACAACATTTATTTTTTAAAGTAAAGGATTATTTCCGTATATTTCTTATTCTTAAGGTTTTACTTTATTATACCCTAAATTTTAATCACATACCGAGTAATAAGATTGAAACGTACCGATTCTTAGACGACCAAGTGTTAAATGATGTCGTGATGTCGTGTTAATTTTTGACTTTCTCGATTTCTTTCATATTCTGTTCGTACGCACGGTTGCAATTACACACAGGAAATACAAAGAGAAACTCTAAAATATTTAACCCAATGACACCCAAGGAATGCAAAAAATATAGTATGGTATGCAACCCTTGATTCTTTGAAATTTTAGTATGTATCCCGAAAATCAGTCAATCATCCTCCGTAACCTAACCACCAAAATTTTCATTTCTAAAAGCAATCCACTAATTTTATTTCTCATATAATATACCCAAACAGATGTGCAAATAGGGCCGTGGGAAACTGGTCTGTAAGGATCGTTGTCAATCCAGTACTATGTACGAGAAACTTTGCAAGGAATTTAAAATTCGTTAACCTCGAACAATTCATTACCATGTCCTGTGGATTATGCAGCTTCACATTAAAAATTCCATTTTAAAATTTCAAAACAATAAGTTTCATAAAATACGTTCAGAAATTCCTGCTTTTTATCACTTTTGATATGGAACCGCGATGTGATAACCCTAGCAGTAGCTCTGTATCTTAACCGCTAGTAACTGCTAGCTATCAGGGAGAAGAAAATTGAATATTACTCTCACTTCATATCAGCATAATGTTAAAGTTAGATTTAAAGTTCAAGAAAACTGACCGATAACGACATAAATATTTATTCCTCGAATCTTCTTTGTGTGTCTGTGTCACGGTGTTCATCAATACTCCAACTGAAAAGTATTTTCAAATGTACTCGTATTTACATATTTATGTACATATGTATGTATGTCTTAAAAAATGTCAAGCAACGATCAACAATATTCACATGTATTACTATTATGATTAATTTTGAATAAAATATGATGTACACAAAGTTTGGTTTAAGAAGACTTAAGAAACTGCATCATTAACATCGTTCCATGCCAATTTTGTTTGAAAGCAACCAAGAAAGGGTAAAGTACAAACCGTTCGTGCTTACGGACGAATGTGAATCTCATGCAATATTGATCTGATATTGAACGTCACACGTTATTGGAACTGTTGAGGCGTGACACATGCAAAAACTATAGCTATCAAAGACATTAAATATAGTTTCACTTTAAGTTTTGCAAGTATTCGAATCGGAAGCTTGTAACATTTTGAGCATACTTGCAAAAAGCTATTGTAAAGATGAATTACTTTAATTTATTCGTCCTTGTAAATATTTTCCTAACGGCCAAATTATTTGTTGTAATAGGCCAATTCAACCGTAAGTTACACATCTCCATATATACAAATGTTTTTTTAAACTACACATTCATACATATTGTGCATACGTAGATATATTAGTTATATACATATGATACATACATATATGGTATTTAATTATTTAGTGAGTGTTTACAGGCAGATGCCTTCGCTTTATCAGTTTGATGATTATGATCAATGTCTCCAATCTGACACTGTCACTTCCAATATTAGAGCAACTTATTGTGTTGTTTATGCAGAAATAGTAGAAAACGAGACTTCAAGTTTGTGGGACCAAATCGCAAGCTTCTCGGCAGACAAAAGACATCATTTCAGTCATGATCGACTATTTTTTGGGGTCTGCTTAGAACGCTGCAAAGAACTATTAGATACAACGGTAGTATTTCCTCGAAATGAATTAGTAAAAAATGGAGCCATTCGCGATACTGAGGTTAGTTGAAATATTCCATCCATTGTACCACATAATTCACATAACAGCAAAATAAATTTTAGTTAATTAACTATTATTTTAATGTTCATAAACGAGAAACTGACAATCGTATTCAATATGACGAGATGATTAGTCGTTGTCTTAATTACGATTTTCACAACATATTTGGATTAAATTTGCGTACGAGCATCGAATACTGCGAAGAAGCGAATGTGTACTTGGAACATGGTAAATATACCCTTTGGATCATAGTGCTAACCAAAATTAAAAAATAATGTTATGTAATTTCAGACTCCTTAGATGTAACTGTTTATACAATTCTTGCCATCATTGCTTTGGTCTCCATCATGTCTACTATGTATGACTATCGTTTAAAGATGTCGCAAATTTTAAGTAAACAAAACAACGAATTTTATAAAGTTCCACCTCAATGTTCAGGTAATTATTTCTATCTAAGTATATACAGTCAACCAAAAAAAACTTGTACAGGGAGATGGTTCGACTTTGAAGTGACTTATCTCCTAAACTATTAAAACTTTTGAGTTGTATTCAAAAGGGAGAAAAAAGCTGTTTAATTAATTTTATCAACGTAATTAAAATATATTTTTAAAAATTCAGTTTTCTGAAAAAAATTTAAAAATTCAATAACTCCGTTTTCGAATATAAAAAAAAAACTTATACAGTTTGCATAAATTGACATTTTAACACTCTTGAAGGAAAATTATACTTGGTATCCCCTCTATCCTGGTGTGCAGTGTTTTATTCATAGAATGTGTATTGTATTTAATGTAAATTGTGTTCAGGACGTATATTTGCCCATATTTCCTGAAGAGAAGCCATAACTTTATTGTAGCTATTAACTTTGCCTGGGCCGGCTAATTTTTTGGGCATTCCTCTACCATCAATGTTTCCAACTCCTCCAGTATTTTTGAATTTCGCAATAATATATTTAACATTAGAATTTGTTTTTTTTTGTTTTGAAAATATTGCCTATGTTGCGAATAATTTTGATCTCTTGCCAATATTTGATTACATGAGCCTGTAAATTTTTAGATAGTTGTTTATTCACCATTTTTTCTTCAAAAACTACAACCGCACAAAATAAATGTCCATATCCATATCCGTACTCATATAATACCAGACAAAAATAACGGTATCTACTTGACAACTGCATTTAAAGTGTTGCCAACATCAGTGTACAAGTTTTTTGTAGCTGCTCAGTAGTGAGATATTTTAATTTTTTCGAATCTTTAACACCAAAATTGATTGATTGTTGAAATTTTTATAAAAATACATAAGATTCCCATTTTGTTATATTTGGTTGCAACTTAAAAGCTGAAATAGTTTAAGTGAAAAGTATCTTCAAAGTCAAAGCATAAGTTTTTTTTTTTTGGGGTTTACTGTATAGGGGAAGGAACAAATAAGAAGGAAAAAGTTCGGGTAACCAATTATCAATATATTAAAATTTTTGGAAATCTATTATACAATGAAATTTTAGCACATCGCGTATGTACATTCAAATATTAAAAAACGACAACATAATGTAATGTTATGTGTTTCAGGTATTTTTAAATACTTTTGACAGTAATATCTGATCTTTTTTTAATAACAAAATGATTTATTTATGACGTAGAAATTTATATTTTTTGCCTTCTTGTACATAACCACATAAAACTCGCAGACATTCTTAAACACATTTTTATACCCTAAACAGGGCATATTAAGTTTGCCACAATGTTTGTAACACCCAAAACTAGACGACAGAGACCATATAAAGTATATATATGGGTCGATTTACACATGTCCGTCTGTCTGTCCGTCCGTCTGTATATATAAGAACTAGGCCCTCAGTTTTGGAGAAATCGATCTGAAATTTTGCTCTCATCCTTTTCTCACCAACAAGCTACTCATTTGTCGGAAAAGCCGATATCGGATCACTGTAGCATATAGCTGCCATACAAACTGAACGATCGGAATCTGGTGATTAGATGGAAAACTTTTTTTTGCATGGGCTGTTTTCCAAGGCAACAATGCAATCTCAGAAGAAATTGTTTAGATCAAGTCACTACAGCATATACATACATAGCTGTCATACAAACTGACCGATCAATGTTCTTATAAGGAATTTTTTGTTTTTATGAAGGATATTATAGCTTCGGTGAAACCGATGTTAACGTTTTTGCTAGTTTTATTTTTTCAGTTCAGTTATTATATTCGTATATTTCATAACCTTTGTCCCTACGCTCCAACTGGAGTTAACGGAAAATATAAATATGATATATTTCGCAAGGCAATTATACTGATAGACTCTATACCTCTAACAAACCCGCCATATATACATACATACATATGCAAGTATACATATACATATGTACGTATGTGCCCGGATTTGAAAGAGAGTTGAAAAAAGATGACCTGATATGATAACATTATGTACATTTCAGTACACCAACTTTGGGTTTCATATTCAATATGTCGCAACTTTTATCATATTTGTGATTCCTCAAAAAGTCGCAGCCAAACAGCAGAAGATCTACAATTTTTCGATGGCCTCCGTGTAATTGGAATGTTTTTGGTGTTATTTGTACATTCTTTGATACTTTTCATGGCTGTACAAGTTGATAATCCGCAATTTTATGAAAATTTTTTTTATCGTCCTGAAACAGCCATTTTTGAAAATGGAGCAGCAATAATTCAAATATTTTTTGTTATGAGCGGTTTTTTACTTTATGTAAATTTCAACGAAAGGAAATTTGTTACCAGCAATACCAGTCTTTTAGATTGCGTTATTATATACTTTAAAATATTCTTTCACCGATATTTAAGGTAATTGTGTCTATTTATCTGGGTAATAAGTTTATTCTAATTCTCGAACATATGTGACTAAGGCTTCTACCATCTCTAGTAATGTTGATTCTTTTCAATTCTACCGTGCTTGTAAGGCTACAAAATGGACCATTCTGGAGGCATTATGTGGAAGCCGAACGCATATTTTGTCGCGAGTTGTGGTGGCAGAACCTTTTTTTTGTGAATAATTATCTTCTGAAAGAAAGTGTATGTACATACTATGTTACGTATATAAATGTATATTAATATTATCTTAATTTAACATCCAATTATTTTTTCTCTTTATTGTACATGTATATCTACGTGCAATTTATTTACACCGTACTCAGTGCTCACATCAGACATGGTACCTTGGTGCCGATATGCAACTTTTTGAATTATTTCTTATAATATTAATCATTATAAACAAGTAAGTAAATGGCATAGTTTGGCGGATTAATTTGAAAACCATTTTAGTTCGAAAGGTTTAACACCTGTGTTTAATAAAACAAAAAATATAATGGATGGTTTATATTGACAATTATAAAATAAACACATACATATGTACATACACCTATGTATGTATTATTTTTGCACTTTTTCAGATATCCAAACATGCGACTATTTGTATATTCGATTCTTTTAGTATTAACGTTTTCGGTAACAGGATTTATAACTTACTTTTGGAAACTTAAACCAATATATCATACTAATCCAGAGTAAGTATTTTCAAAGTTTTACATTTGATTACTTATTTATTTTCACGAGGTATTTTACAATAATAGAAACTACCGTTATATGTTTTTTCGAGATGCAGAAACTTTTTACCTAGCGTATACACCATTTTATACAAATATTGGCGGTTATTTCTTTGGCATAATTTCTGCTGAATTATATTTGAAATTACGAAACCATTCGAAGCAATATCGTGGTTTACTAAAATATGAATTGAGTTGGTGGCTGATATTTCCTGTCGGTTTTGGTTTAATTTTTGTCGCCGCATTCGTTATGTCGTTCGAAATCAATGAGCCATCCATTTGGACAGCTTTATTTGCAAATTTTTATCGGAATGTGTGGGCTCTAATATCCAGCGCGGCAATACTAGGCATGTGCTTGAAGTTGGGATGTGAGTCGCACTCATATATCATAGGTACAATCTTATTTCCTTCCATTAATGTAAAATGCTTTTTTTAGGGATCGCATACGAGTTTTGCCGTCTTCCAGTTCTCCGGATTTTATCCAAGTTATCATATCAGGCCTTTCTTTGGCACCTGGTCGTTCTACGTTTAATTGGCGGTTTCTATAGACAACCAATTTATATAAATCGATTTTATTTGGTAATCGTATTATCTCGATTAAGAAGTTAAAAATTATTTTAAAACATTTGTTACAGATTTGCCAGATTGTAGTTGCGTTCGTAATAACACAAGCCGTTGCCTTTGTTTTTGCACTATTTCTTGAATACCCTGTGGCAGCAATAATTAAATATTTTTTGCCTTATTATAAAGACGAAAGGAAGCAAGGCAAAAGAGATGTCTATAATTTAAACTGAGTTGTTATTATAATAACGAAAAAATATTAATAGATATATATAAGTATTTACTAGTGGATGCGTCATACACCCTAACCACTGCGCGTTAAACGTTTAACGCAACCTTTTCTGAACTCCCATTAGAAGTTTCACTTCAAAAATAAATGTTGGACAAAAAGTAGTAATAAAATTCAAATTTTCGAACATAATCGTGCAATCGTGTGCAGCTTTCTAAAGTAGAGAAATTACTTCTAGTGCATTCGATTCCGTGGTCGAATTTGTGATATTTAGTCATCTTTACGCATAAGACCACGTATTTTATGTAGTTGCAGCATAATTAGAATACAACTCTTCATGTATACAGAATGTCAACAAAAAAGAACAACCTTATTCATTTCTTGATTGAAAAATTTCACTTCGAAACGTCAAAGAGGAAGTTAAATGATGTGAATGTAAACATTTGTGAGCATGTATAGCATGATAATATGTATATAAAAAAAAAATAAAAATTTAGATAGATTTAAAATCTTTTTGTTTTCTTCTAGAAAATATTTGTAAAGTTCACAGTTGCTTGTGTTATATACTATTGGCTGTGAATGATTGCGAATATATATCAAAACGATAGGCATGTCTTTTCGTCGTATGAGGTAAGAGTACTTTAATCTCAATAAGTCAAATTTGCATTAACTAAAAATTTGAAGAATACAGAACAAAAAAAAAACTTGTTTTACCAATCCAACTTTCCAACTTTTGATGCCAATGAACTAATTTAATAATGGTGAAAAATTTAGATAATTTTAGAAAGCATTCCAATTATTTAGACTGTGTTCATACACAGTACTTAAATTTTGTCATAACCGTTGCTAATCAATCCTACACCTGAAAATAATAAAATAATATAAATATTTCGGTATCGGTTCGGTATCAGAGCTTTTATTTATGCGATCTAATCTTATTTGGATCGCTAGTTTTTTTAACCCTCTCATCGAATTAAATGTTATACAGCAAATTTTTCTTTTCCGTTTTTTGTTCCCACGAAATTTGATTAATGAATTTTAATCATTAATAAATTCTTTCAATAGTAATCTAATTACGAAGTATATTAAATATTGAAAAAGTATTAATTTTTTCGCCATAATTCCAATATCAAATATTAAAACATTTTATCAACATTGTTATTCCATTTAAATTTCAAGCAGACCAATTATAATAATTTCAACATCACTATTGGCATTTCATTTGCTCACGTCAATAGAGACTGTGCGAAAGCAAAACGTCAAAAAAGAAGAAAAGTTAGATTTTGGAAAATTGGAAGCATCGTACTCCCTGGCAGATAAGAAGCAGTAAAATAGCGACTGCGAGAACTATATTAAAAATTGAAAACAACAAAATTTTTCGTAATTAAAGATGGCACAGAAGGCTCAGGAATTAGCAGAAAAATACCGAAAGTCGGTTGAAGAAGCACTCAACGACCGGAGCAAACCTTGGACACAAGCATTTGAAATTGTTGAGACAAAAACAAACGTTCCAAGATTATATTTATTTTTGGGTGAGTAGGATATAGTGACTCGTTTTTCCCTCTTGGTTGACAACACGATGATACGTCATATTGTCAACGTAGGCAGTATTAGAATTTCTAAAAATAGTACTATTATTATTTAAATATAATATACTTTTTTGTATAGAAAGTATATATTAAAACGACGTATAGAAATTACAACATAAAACATAAAGGGCTTGATATCACGAATTCCAATTATTCCAATCTTGTTCACATATCTCTTTTACATCGAAAACTTGACTTTTACAGGTTAAAACGGAATTAGTCATAGTTTACCCATTTCTCCATTCTCTTATTTCTTGTTAAAAGATTTTTAATTATAAGGTAAAATATTTATTTACATGCATTTATATGTTCGTATCAGTGACCTTTATTCAGATACGTACATATGGAATCGGTAACACGCTACAATTGGGTGACGTCAGTGATAAAAATGTTTATGGTTACATTAAAAATAAATTAATTCGTGGCAAAAAATGCTCTATTTAGTAAATTAAGTATTCATCATTACCAATTTGTTGTTTTCGGTGGTTTTGACACAATTAAATCCAGCTTATTTGTATATATCGAAATAAATGCAGAGCTGCATCAAAGTTTTGCATTAAGATTAGGATATTCAACATGTGGATTTGGGAATATTTTATAAATTGGCGAAGACGTGAGAAGCATATAAAGGCTCTCAGCGAGCCCGTTGTTACATTTGGAACTGGTTCGTATATAAATATTGCATGGTACACGAAATTGTCTTTTTTATTTATATTGTATATATGTAAATGTTTAACAATGATGATACATAAACCTGATATCTCTATTAACTATAAATTTCAATAATTGAATAAATTGGCAAACACGTAGATCGGATGGATATACTCGTATAATCGAAAAAGATATTATTAATTTAAATTCTTTGTCATCTATCAATAACATGAACAAAGCAATTGGCTAGGTAACGTGAATATTACCTTTGTTCTCTCTCTTTACAAAAGCGTATTCAATTCATTAACTCATTAGCACACTACACTTTACTGACAAGCGGCTGTTAAGGTACATTTAATTTATGCATTTACGTGGCAAAGCAGACAAGATATTTTAATTAGCGGTGAAATAGTACAACTGATCGTTTATATTGTAGCTCATTGAACTTTCATCTTCACGGATGAAATTCTACAGAAAAAATTTAGTACAAAGACTAGACGTGTTCTGAATTCTGTGCCAATATAATATTGTCGCAATTCTCAAAAATCCCTTGATCAAATTAATTTGTCGCTATCCGTCAGCAAACACTGAGGAAAATGTTCGAGCCGTTACAAGAAAAACTCTTGCAAATATATCGCGGGCATACAACTATGACAATTGGTTAATAAAAGCAAAAATTAGGTTTATTTTATTTACATATGCTTGAAGATACAGAGTGAGAGAGTGTTAGTTACTAATGTTCATTATACAAAAATATTTCAGGCGCTGCTGCATTTTGTGCCTTGTACTTGATTTTTGGTTATGGTGCTCAATTGCTGTGCAATACAATTGGCGTTGCCTATCCTGCTTATATCTCCATACATGCCATAGAGTCGAGTACAAAATTGGACGATACTAGATGGTTAATTTACTGGGTGACTTATGCCATATTGTCATTAATTGAATACTTCTCCGGTTTTCTTACATCTGTAATACCATTTTACTGGTTGCTTAAGGTGAGTTACATATTTAAGATATACATATTTGATTTCAATAAAATAGAATATTCCATTAAAATCTTTAAAATAGTAGCGGCCCAAAATACATTGTCGATGTCGATATTATTCTTGCTGTTTGTTGTTGTTGTTGTAACGGTTACCTAATCCCCGTTTGGGTGATAAATTCCAGATTGGTTGTCGTCAAGGTCATCTAACGGGAGGCCCAGGAAACGAGCTGTTTCGACGGGTTCGGACCATAGGGAAAAGGGTGTTAGATAAGTGGGGTTCGTTGGGCATGCAAAGAGGTGGTTATTGTCATGCGGAGACTCATTGCACGCAGGACATGTGTTTGGTATGTCGGGGCTATTCTGGATAAGTAGGAGTTTAACCTGCTACAACCACCGAGGGTCACTCTGGTTTCGCGAGGCAACTCAAGCTCTACGTCTGCTATGGGTGGTGGTTTGACTCGTAGTACGCCATTCACTGAGAGGGAGTCGGTGAAGGTGTTGATGGTTCCACTGTGAATGGCGGTCAGTGCCTGTCTGAAGTTCGTTGCGTCCGAAATCCGGTCGGCGTACTGTGTAATGTCGTCGACGTAATCAAGAAAAGACCTCGTGATGTTCCTAGGAGGGGGCTCCGCTTCAAGCAGACGACTGCAGGGGTGGTTTCTACGAAAACAACCCAACAGAAACTGCTTGGAGAGGAGCTCTTTATGTTCCTTAATCGGAAGCATACGGGCCTCACTGTGTAGGTGTTCGATTGGGGACATCAAGAGGCATCCCGTGATAGTCCGGAGTGCAGTGTTCTGACAGGTCTGGAGCTTCTTCGTCTGCGTAGCACTACTATTTAGTGGGGGAGAGTGTCAGACTCCTTGCAGAGAAGAAGCAAGAAAGATCGGAGAGATAGCTGTTTACTTTTGAGCACATGCCATCGATTCCATTGCCCGACGACAATATCGTGCAGTCATCAGCGTACGAGGTCACGGAAATTCCCTCTGGTGGTTGGGGGTGTTTCGAGATGTAGAAGTTGAAACAGTAAAGGGGAGAGGACCCCACCTTGCGGAACCCCCTGTTTAATTCTTCTCAGTTTGGAGTTTTGACCTCGAAACAGTATGGATGAATGCCGACCGCTCAGGTAGTTCTTGGTCCACCGCTTCAGCCCTGGAGGGAGCGTAGATTGTTCGATGTCCTCAAGTAGCGTTGTGTGATTGACTATGTCGAAGGCTTTCGACAAGTCCAACGCTACGAGGATCGTCCTCTGGCAGGGTGGCTTCTGCTTTAGGCCATGAACTATCTGGGCGTTTATGACGCTAAGGCCTGTGGTGGTGCTGTGCAATTTCCGGAAGCCATGCTGTTGTTCTGCTAGACTAAGGTGGTGAATAACAAGGCCTCAAGTGTCTTCACTACTGGGGAAAGGAGAGTTATCGGACGATAAGATTCCACTTTGTTGGCGGGTTTATTATTTTTCTTGCTCATAATCGTGGGTTGTTTCCAATTTTTGACGCGAGAGTTCTGTCGAAGTTCTTTCGTTGTGCTATTTGAAACATCTTTCTTAGCATTTAATGTCACTTAAAATTCCTGCACAAGTCTAGAACAGTTAAAAGTTTTATGTTTCTTGCAGCCCCGTATAATTGCATTGCTTATATACATATTAGATTTTGATATACTGCAATATGTAATGGTTATATTTTTTACAAATACTTGAATGCTAAAATAACTATTGTTAACTTACTTAAAATTGCGGAATTGATTTTCTAATCTATTTGAAGTTAAAATAAAAACAGAGAACGTGTATTATACATATGTATTATGATATACGTTCTCTGGTAAATATAACAAATTAGTTTATTTTATATTTTATATTTATTATGAGGGAGATACTATTTTGAAGATAAAAATCAGCCCTGTTGTTGTTGTTGTTGTAGCGACAGAATTCTGCCGAGTGGACAGGCCTTTGCCGGAATAAATCCGGGTCCGTTCCGGTTACGTAGACCCGACTGTCTTGGAAACGGTCAGCCCTCGAAGTCAACGGTCTTAAATGTATTGATTACATTACAAAAATAATAATTTCAAAAAAAGTTTATACAAGAAGAGTTTTCAAAATTCACTTAAATGGAAACAGGATACGGATTTTGCATTTGCATCGAAAATATATGCAACGAGTCTTTTTAACAATTTTTTTATTACTTTCGCAATTGCTTATTGAGTAACTATATTTTTAAGAATTTTTGGTATATTATAAATTATTATTATTAATCTTTTTTTTGTTTTGTATTTTTTTTTAGTGCGCATTCTTAATTTGGTGTATGCTGCCTATCGAAAGGAATGGTTCTTTCGTCATCTATCACAGCGTCGTACGTCCATATTTTCTGAAGCACCACCGAGGTAAATTTTACTTTCTCTCGCGATTATTTGTAACACCTAAAATTAATAGAGATAGATTATGTATATCAAAATTATCAGTAGGGAACTGCGTATATGGCTTAACAATTATGGAAGAGTGAACGTGGTTTCGCGAACTACTAAAGCTATATCAATCGAACTTTTTGCGATTATTTATTTCTCGCATTCCTTAATACCGTATAGAAATTACCCATAATAACTAAAAAGACGATAACTTTCTAAGGAAAAACGTCGGAAGCTTTAAATTGTACAGCAAGGTATTACGGTGGAATTGCATTCCAATTGGAAAAAGTGAACAATGCACCCAATTCATACCACATTAGGTACCTGGGATTACTTTCAAATTATTACATTACATATTGAAAATTGTGAAGTCGGGCGACAACCATGCTTACTTCAGATATAAATTCCAACAGATTTTTATACTTTTGCAACATGTTGCTATAAAATATAATAGTTTTGTTCCCCTAACGGTAGTTTGTAACACCTAAAACTAATCGAGATAGATATAGAGTTGTATATATATTAATGATCAGGATGACGAGACGAGTTGAAATCCGCTTGACTGTCCGTCCGTTCGTACAAAGCTGTTTCCTGAGTAAAAATTAGATATTCATGTTCCTTGGCACCTTAAGAAATTCGGCATTGTAGATAGGCGTAATCGGGGGTTTGACCGGTAGAAATATGTATGATATTGATCCTTGCGAATTTGAAAAGTATAAAAAGTTCGATTACTCCCAACTTCACTCTTTCACTTTTTTTATTATTATTCTGTTATTAATTTTTGAGTACCTATAAGGCGTAGCAACTGGCCTGCCTTGACATGAATCATTAGAATGTTTTCTTTAGTTTTGAACGAATTTCTTTATTGCACGAAATTTAATTTTTGTATGCCTAGTAAAATTTTAAAATATTTATATATCAATTATTTTATTTTAAGAGTGAATACATTTTAATGTTGGCTTGCACGACATCATTATTTAGAGGAAACATTACAAGTAAACTATAATGTAAATCACCTGTATGACTAAAAAGTAAATTTTCAGTTTATATTTTTTCTACGGTACAAGTAATATTTATGTTAATTAATTTATAAGAATAAAAATATCTTTCATTTTCCAGCTGCTGATGAATTTATTGATAAAGTGGCTACAAAAGCAAAGGACTCTATTCATAGTATCACCAAACAAGATTAAATTGTTGTAGGCAATTTGCAGCATTAGTTTTTACTTGAGGTTATTGCTTGCATATCCTAAAAAAAGTAAACACAAGTAAGAATGGAAAGTGAACGAGAGCTTGAAGAGGGACACAACAGAAAAACGTATGAAATAGAGACAGAAACCACAAAGAACAAAGACCTGTAAAATATATTTCCGATGGCAACATTTCTCTTATGGCATGGCGGAGTTTCTGAGCCCATATCTTTTAATTATATTAAATCATCAATAAAATGTTTAGTATATAATTTTTAGACGATCACGATTACAAGAGCTACGTATACACCGAAAAACCCATGTATATCGTGTATTTTAAGTCAAATATCTTACTGTCTAAAAAATACGTACGCAATTAAAGAAGTGTGCGCACTGCTATTTTGCACCTAAGCTGCAGATTATCACCACTATTCGTTGCTTCTAAAATTTTATTGTATTTGAATTAAAATTTTGATTGTAAGAAATTAAATTAAACAGAGTAAATATTTGGTGGCTTTTTGCTTGAAAAATAATATAAAACTGTTTTGTGTTTAGGGTAAATAGATGTATAGTTTTAATAAAACACATGTTTGGAGAACACTTCGTTTGTTTCTAATACATTCCTCCAGGAGTACGTGTCATGTTGTTATGTTGTTGAAGTGTTTTTTTTTGGCGATCAAACAGGATCGGTGGGTAATAGGTTTTGTTACGTGCACCTCAACTCTTTGGACCTAATTGGAACTGTTATGTATATGATACTGTATTAATTTATTTTTAGTTGTAAATTTCTATCCATTAAAACATTTTTTTTATACATTTTAGCATTTTTTTTATTTTATCGGACATGACGAATAAATAATATTTTTTACGCTTCAACAGAATCCTTTACTTCATTTATTCCATCTGCGGCGACTTTTTGCCTGTTTCGCCAGGCGGTCATATAAGTGCGCGGATGAATGGGCAAAAAGCCAGCAATACCCAATAGTTCTGCTGTTGGTGTGGACAGGTGAGCACCTCGACCCAACCAATAGCGGATACGTTCAAAATTAAACGAAACTAAACGTTCATTTGTCTGATTTGGCATTGGATCATAAGTACCAACTTGTTCTATTACTGGCTGGTGTTGATTTTTTCGACGCTACAAAAAATGACACACTTTAATAAAATCCAAAAAAGTATTTTGAGCGTTACATACCTCCATAACGACAACATGGTAGAAAGGACGATTTGTGCAACCCAATCGGACAAAGCGGATAATTTTGGCAGAATGTTTATAGTAGCGCCCTATACCACTTGATGGACATAATGACATCTTTTTAGTTTTCAGTTCTTACAATTAATATACAATAAAGTTATATTTAAACTTGTAAACTAGATTAAGATGAATGTTACGAAAACACGGGCGATTAATGTAATCGAATATAAGAATATTTTGACAACTGATCAGCTGTATGCAACAGTGTAGCCATTTAATATGTTTTCTGAGCCAACGTGATTAAGAAAACGTTTAGCAGAGAACGTAAAATACGTATGATATACGTTCTCTGCGTTTAGTCTATGAAAATATTTACCTCTAGAAAGTGAACACTTTTCGTAAAACGTAGTATATGAATGAATGACCTTAATTGTGGATTGACATCAAACAAACATATTTTTACAACAATTTGCTTTTGGCTGAATATATATAACTAGCGAATGCATTGGTGTAATGGTAGAAATTCATTCGCGTATAACTCGAGCGACTCCATAGTAAGCATTTGAATGCGTTGATAGATTACATTCTCATAAAAGCGAAGCAAAGCAAAACGAAGCAAAAAGTTGGGCTACTCTCAGAATTTTAGGCATTGACGATTAGCTGCCGCTATTTTTATTACTTATTTCTACAATACATATTAGTACTATGTTGGCATTGCTAGTTTATCTAAACTGTTAAGATTAAAGTAACATAACGATATATGAAATATCTGAGAAGCACGGAAAGGATTCGCTCTAACATATACATGTACTATACTTTTTTGGTTTCGATTTCCAACTATGTACTGTAAAACAAAGAGAGGTCGAAAAATAGATTTTCTATGCATATTCGAATTTAAGTTCATATTTCTAAACGTTGATTGCTATGGAGCTCATCTCAGAAATATATGCGTATTCTACTAAATAATTAAACTTATGTATATGGTTACGTGAATTATGTAGTTTCCGTTGTAATCACGTCGGCCTGTTAGTGCTCCGTTTTCTTTTATTTACTGTCCACTGTTTTTGTATATCAACTGTGGTTCATATTTCAGTAATATTAAAGAAGAGTGGCAACACAGATTTTCTTTAGAAGAAGACGGCACAATAGCAGGTACGGTGTTTTTGCTAAGCGTTTTTCAGCAATTTATTTGTAAAATACTGGTGTTAAATTACCTAAATTAGTGAACCAAATGTGTGTTAAGTTAAACATTTTAAATTTTGAATAATTACATGATTGATGTGTAGAGTTTAAATGGTTTTTAGTGTGTGACTATCGTACCAAGATCCAATATTTTATTTTTGGGGTTGAATGCTACAATTGAAATGCTTATTCATCGTATACTAATGGTCGAAATATTGGTGCGAAAGAGAAATGTGTGCTTGTGCAATACCATTGAAATGGCGTCCTGTCGCATGAGATTTCCTCCACATGGACCATAGTGCATATTTAAATATATATATTAGTTACATTATTATTGACATTTGAAAGTAATTGCTTTTAAATAATAACAATAAAATTGAGCAAGTGTAAAATATTGTAGGAATCGTTAGATGATTGTTAAAAAATATCTCATGTATACTCCATTTTGTTCTCGTTAAATTCAATATGAATGTTTCCACTCGGGTTATTTGCTTTTGTCGTCTACTTTTAGGACAAAACGCATCGAAAAGTATTTCAGCTGGTGCTCTCTTTTCCTACCATAACTTTAGTAAGTACGTGTAAATGTGCTATTTCGTTCACTTACGAATTTGAGGGCGGCTATGTTGTGAGGGTTACCGGTTGAGTGGTGGATTTCTGATTTTTTTTTTTTTCGCTATAGCTATGCATACGTAAAAATTGTAATTGATTTTTGATGAGAAAAATAATCAATAAAGCAATTTAATGCCAAGGATCAATTTGAAATAGAATTAATATATGTAATTTCTTGTCAATGTTAAGTTACACCTCTGTTTACACGCCATACAAAATCCGGCTTCATTTGATACTGAATAAGAGATTAGGAAACTAAAAACGATAGGTTAGAAAAAGAAAAACGTAGAAATATAAACGGGATGACGAGTATCATGGTTGATTCGTATTAAAGCCGAACAGGAATTTGGGGGAATGAATAGCCGAAGTGATCATTATTGCCAACTATGTTTATAAATCAATTTTTCGTTACAATACATCATAAATGGTTTTTCTTAATTTTTTTATTTTTTTTTTTTATTGGTTACAGATGTAATTGATAATTTTTTTTTCGTAGAAACATCAGTTATATATTTTTGGTTTTTTATAAAGAAAAGGTTATATATAAAGCCTAATACAAATATTGTATTCTAAGTAATTATTGAGTAGGCTGGCAACAACGTGTCGAGCAAAAATTTATAAATCAATTTTTTGTGTATGCAATTATTCTGTTTTTCGCTTAATAAAAGGTAACTTTCGAACTAAAATAGGAATTTTAAATTAACATATAGTGTTTGCGATAATTAATTATGTCTAGGATTACTATTTGTTGAGTTAAAAATATATATATTTGCGTCCTTAAGAAAAGGATAATAGCTAAAGAAAGAAAAGTGTCTGGCGTGAAAGTCTCGTGAAGTAAAATTTAGAAAATTTAAACATTTTGTGGTGAAGTGCAACTGTCAATACCGAATGGCAAGTAGCATAAATATGAGTACAAAAAAATTTTCCTCTGGCCTATCTAGGATTATATTTGGTACTTATTGTAATGTGGCAGGTTGCGAGTAATGAATTTGTTACCGGCGTGTAATGATGAATGTGTGTCTGTTAAAATTTAGGAAATGGTACCGGCGGAGCCCACCATTCATTGAATTGCGTTGAAACAAAACTAATAACAAAAATATTTTTTTTTTATCAATCTGTTTAACAATTAGCTGCATTAATTTTTAATTTATTACATTTTAATGTTTCTGCGGATAAAAAACAATGTATAATTTTCATAATAAAATTGTTTTAGTTGTATATTTTATTGCAGGAAATGTTCAATTTTACTATAAGAATCACTTGTTTCGAGTAATCTAATTAATTTCTCTCTTTGACTTCTATACATCCTTCACATACTCCTATTAGTTTTGCATCGAAAGGTCTCTCCTAGTTGGTAACAAAACGCTATATCTTCTTTAAAACCAACATACAATTTTATGATCCAGATATATTAATGATTAGTTGTAGATAATTTATACAATAATCGAGAATTTATTTAACAAATAATATTTTCTTTGTCTATTCACGTTTCGTTCCTAAAGCTTACTTGTAAATACAGTGTACATATAAATATGAGCACACAAAATCGAAATAGCGGCGGGGGTCGCAACCAAAAAAAATCAAATTCTGGCAGTGGAGGTGGCGGAGGTGGTGATTCTGCTTTACAGACATCAACTAAGAAAACAGATGTCTCAAAGACAGAAAAAGAAAAATCGCATCCAAAGGTAAGCTACAATTAAGTATTACCAAATGTAAAATAGTGATGAAGTTACAACTAATTGATTTTAATAACTACACTTCACTTTAAATTAATTTTGCAGCCAACTGCTGAACAGTTACGCATCGCCCAAATCACCAATAGTAACACATCAGAAGATCCGCAAATGCGGGAAAAAGTCGCCACACTTATTGAAATGACTCAACGTTCTGAAGAGGAAGTATGTTGCGCATTATATGAATGCGATAACGATATGGAACGTGCTGTTGTGTATCTATTGGAGACCCTTCCAGTGGTTAGTTAATTATTTAAATGTATTAATAATTATATTCAGTCACTGATATTAGGTTTTATTGTATATATAGGGAGCATTTGAGACATCTTCAAAGAAGAAAAAGAACAAAGCTGCAAGTGCCGGACAAGAAAGTGCTGGTGGTGATGGAGAATGGACTGATAGCAATGCAAACACTGACAGACGTGAGAAATCACGTAATCGGAGTAGTAATCGTGGCGGACGCGGCGGCACCGATAGCCGTGGCTGTAAGCATAATTTAATTTATACATGTGTATCACATTGTACTTTAATAATTATTAAACAATGTATAGGGCGTGGCAGAGAAGCTCGTGAAAATGAACGTAATTTACGTGATTCACGTGGCGGCGATGATCGCAATGACAATTATCGTCGTAGAGAAGGTGGGGGAGGTGGCGGTGGAGTTAGGAGTGGTGGTGGCCGTGGTGTTGGTTATGCTGGTCGTGGAGGTCGTGGTGGCGGCCGATTTGGTGCTGGTGGCCGCGGTACTGGTGGTCGAGGTGAACGTGGATTTAATTCTCGGTCTGCCACCAATGAAGATCACCATGAGGTGGAGTTATGGGACAATACTATTGCTCAGAATGCTGAGAAACAGCAGCAACAAATGCAAGATGATGCTTGGGGTGACTGGGATAATGAAGAATATGTGGGCTCGCTTAAAGACAGTAAAGTATTTACCACAAGCAATTTGCCAAATCAGACGGCAGCAAGTGTGGTAAGTGGTGGCGTTAGTAGTATGAGTGGCGTGGTAAGTGGTGGTACAAGTGAGATATCGGCACCTCCTGGATTGGAACATCATTTGGGCAGTTCAGGTTTGGTTGGTACTCCAACCTCCCCACAACAGCAAGGATCTCATATGAATACGCTTGTTGGCAACTCAGTGGGTATTGCAGGAGCAAGTCCGTCTTGTGGTAATACTAGCATAAATGACGAAAACTCAACTGTTAGTTCAGTTGTGCAGTCGGCGTCGACGTCTACAACTCCCATGATGCAGTATAGTGCAGCAGTGACCAATACACAGCTTTCACAATCACAGTCACTGACTTCGCAGCAGCAGCAACAACCGCCAGTGCTAGCTGGTTCAAGTAATTTGACGGCAACGGCTCTTAGTAACACTCCGTATGGTAGTGCAGTGGATACGTTTTCGAATGCTGCTACAGCGGCTGCAAATTTGGTGCAGCAAGTGCAGCAGCAACAGCAGCAACAACAACCGCAAGGGCAAATTAAAACATCGGCCACGCTTTCCGTAGAGCAATCTCAGTATTTCAATTCTTTGACATCGCAGAACACTGCAGCCGCAGGTGTGCAACAACCATTACAACAACAGCAGTTACCATCGTCGTATGCACAAAATGCCGCCGCCGTGCAGTACCCGACATCATACGCAAACGTATTTGGCTCAGCTGCTGTAACTACCCCAGCGGCAACGAGTGGCCTGGGCGTATCTGGCGCTGATCAAACACAACTCTCGGGTGGCGTACAACAGCCACAAGTGCGAAGAGCACGTGCCAAATTACCACCGCCTTCAAAAGTGAGTTAATATATTTATGATTTTTCATGGTATGGGAGAAGACATTCATTATATCAATATCTTAGATACCCTCGACCGCTGTAGAAATGCCAGGAGACACGTTGAACAATATCGGCTACCTGGATGTTCAATTTGGAGGCCTTGACTTCGGAACAGAAGATTCTTTCGACACTTTGCCAGAGAAGTTTGGTGCGGCAGTGACGATTGATAATCAACAGCAACAACAGACACAATCACAACAGCAATTGGTGCAATCGCAACAGGATGTGTCAACTGATTATCAAAACAAGAACAATGTGCAACAACAACAAAGTTCATTGTCGGCAGGGTTACAGAGTACACAACTTGTAAGAATGTTTTTTGTTTTAACTTTGTAATAACGGCTCTAATAAAATAAATAAATACAGGGTGATGCATTATCAACTGGCTACTCGCAACGTGGCACAGCAGCTGTGCAACAACAACAACAACAGGTTGTCAGCGGTGGAAATGGAGTTGGTGTAGGTGGTGGTGCCTCCTCTGTTGGCGGCACTACAAATCACACATTAGATTTGAGTAAAAGCGACCCATACGGTCAGTCACAGAGTGCTACGAACTCAACTAGTGGCTATCCAACGAGCGCTTACCAAACTAGTGTATCTGTAGCTAACAAGACTGCAAATGCTTATCAGCCATCTGCTGCCGGGCAAGTGTACAATAGCAGTAGCTATGCAAATGTACAGGTAATTAATGCAAATATTACACTGAATTTATAAATTAAATATCCTATATATAATTTTAACGATGGAATTATTTGCTAATTTGTTTACCCTTTCGTTCAGTCCTCTGTTGCAAATACATACCAACCACAATCGTACGGTTCGTATCAGCAAACTTCGATGAATTCCTATCAGCAACAAGCGGCAGTGAGTGCGCAGACGGCATCGAATTCCGTAGCGGGGGGCGGTGTAAACGTTGGTAGTAGTGGAAATGCAGCACAAAACATTCCCGCAGTTGGTGGCAGCGGCGGCAATAGTAATGCAAAGTAAGCAAAAAAAATCCGATATTTTAATTGTATCTTTACAACCTATATACATAATTATACTGACCCTTGTTTAGTATTAATATTTGCGTTATTGAATTGATTTTGTATTAGTTTGTATATAATTTCGTTGCGTTTGTATACGTACGTATGATTGCATTTTGAATTTCGTTTTATAATATAAAATTGATTGCTTTAACAATTTTCCCAAATCAAATTCTCACTTTCTTCCCGCCCGCCAACCCTCTGCCTATGGCTTTAATGCTTACAATTTTTGTTGACAACCTTAATCTTACGCTGTAGCAATGCAAATACTGGATATTTGTCAACCGGCTACCCAACACAGCAAAGCGCGTACCAGTCCAGCCAAAGTGTGTACGGTGGAACTGGTCTCTCAAATAGCTCAGGGTAAGTAAATTTTGAATGATACATTTGCATTTGTGATGCAAATATTACAAAAGTATATAATTTTTTTTTTAAGTATTTTATGCGTTAACAAAACTAATCCTTTTTATAGTTGCTGCAAATTAACATGTATTTAGTAAGTTACTTTGTATAGGAGTTTATCATTTAAAAATGTAGGATATATTTAAACATAGAAAAAGTATAAACCTT